TTCTATTACAATCTCTGCAAAGGCCTCGATTCGCCAGGGTGGCCATGGCCGTGGGTCAATCGTTTCCAATTCGTTCAGTCGGTCTACATTCATGGTCTTCAGCGCTTCAGCTAACGGGAAGCGCGCGTTGTGTCCAATATTGTTTCTACGTCTCTGGGCCCGAAGCAATGTGTCCCAGATAGGGTGGTCGCGTGGTAGCGAGTGTAGCCTGGCGATGGTCCGCTGTGCGCGGTGGCGGAGACGGAGGTGTGTGGGGAGGATATGGGCTTCCACTTCCAGTGTTGCAGTTGCCACTGTCCTGAATGTTGAGAGAATGCGGATCAACGGGTGCAGGTGATACAGGGCTTCCGGATACCGGTGTCACCACTTACAACTCTTTGATTGTTTCAGTAACCCTGGTGTGAAACTAAGCTAGGCTGGATTTGGAATGGAATAGAATAATGATTTTCCCGACCAGTACTGCGTCCTGTACTGACAAGTAATATTACATATACATATCCCAGTAATCTCGGCTTTGTTCCTTGGCGCGGAAACATGTGGACTAAGAATGAGTGGCGAGTGAGCCACATTTACATAATTATCTAGAAATCACTGGAGAGGTCTTCTTTGCAAGGAAAATTCTATATAACTCATAGCTATCCGAGGCCCTCCTGTTACAAAGAGATTAGAAAATAAGAGACTGAAGTAATCTTAATCTAATTCTACAGCTTATGGAACCCTACAATACAGACCCGCCCGTTAGTATATCCTAAAGCAATTATAGCGTCTTTGACTGCATGACAAGTAATTGAACGGTATTCCACAGGGAGCCACAGTAGATTTTCATCTCCTAAGGCAATCCAAGCATTCGATAGAGATATATGAAGGTTGGAATTGGGTTCGTTCAGAACTGCTGGGACCGGGTCTGAGTGGCCCTTAAGGGTCTGGCGCTCAGTACCAGTCATTGTATCCCAGAGCTTGATGGTCTTGTCGAGCGAGCCGGACGCCAGTGTACGCCCATCGGGTGAGAAGGCCACTGAATTGACCGCATCTGAAAGGCCCTTAAGGGTCTGGCACTCGGTACCGGTCGTTGTATCCCAGAGCTTGATGGTCTTGTC